CTGCCGGGCTTGCGTGTTCCGTCCTGCCCGGGCCCAAAACTCTCACGCCGCGTGGCACCCGACGCTTCCCCCCCACCCCCCACCCCGTGCCCTCGGCAGGCGCGTGCAGGCGTGCGGACGCCTCCCTCGCTTTTGTTTGGGTAATGACTCCCGCTTTGCGATGGGTCCCAGGACGGGCGTGCACGCGGTGGTGCCCTGTCCCCCCCCACCTCACCTGCGTCTGGCTGGAGGCGTGGGCTGGGCATCGCGGCGCCGGGAAGCTCGTTGCACGGCTCTCGTACAACGCTCGCCTCCCCGCAAAGTTTCCATTGGGCGGCGGCAGTGGTGTTGTTGGGAGCTTCGCGCGCTGTGCCCCCCTTTGGTGGCTTCGTCCGCATGGAAGGGAGCGCTGCCATCCCTTGTGAATTAGAAATGGTGCAGTGATGCACAGGCGTGTGAAGTAAGCATTTCGATGCCCGTGTGCCTGTGCGCGTGCGAGCCCCCACGTGTCTGTGCTTGTGCATGCGTGCTCGCGTTTGTGACTTCGTGTTCCCACGTTGGTTTTGACCTCAGGTTTTTCCATCCATCGCGCGTGCGTGTACAGGTGCAGGCCGATGAAGCACGATGCCTGGGCAGGGCTGAAATGCCATGCTCCTCCGCGTTTGTGTGCCTCCACTAATCTTTGCCCCATGGCCATTCTAAGAAAAAGTACACATTCCACCATGTGTTCCTGATCCCACTGGCAGAGCCATTCGAAATCTGTGGAAGCGCTAACGTTATGTGTCCAATACCATGCCATGCTGGTAGGGCCATTAGAATTCAACATTTGTGTCCAATACCATGCCATGTTGCCATGGCCATTAGAAATCTGTCACCAGTGCTAGCATACTGTCATGTTCATTTAGACGAGGCTTTTACAAATTTGAGTGTTCAACAAGACACACTTTAAAATCACAAAACTAGAAAATCATAGTAATTTTGAGATTCATAATTTCAAATTATAATATAATCAGTATGATTATGGTAATATATTCTGATATTAATTACTCTGTGTTGATGTGACTATAGACCCAGCATAATAGTAATTGTTCTTCATAGAATTAATTAATTATCAGAACCTAAAATAAACTTAATAAATTATGATGTAATTTTTAAAATGTATTTTTGAAAATGTTAACAACATTAATAACATTAACACTCGCACAAACACTGCTGCTCACACGCGAACACAAATTAACATTCATCTTAACCTTCACATTAACATTAACCATAACCTTAACATTAATTGTGACCTTAACATTAACACAGATATTACCATTAACTTTAACATTAACTTTAACATTCATGCCTTTGACATTACCTATATTGGCCTTAGCATTATTAGAGGTGGTGCAATCCGCAACCTTGGCGTTACCATTAACACAACACTAACGGCATTGCTCTTAGTATGGGCGTTATTGACATTATTAACATTATTAGGGCTCGCATTAATTGCAGTGTGAGACGCGCGCTGCTGTGGCATAACAGGGATCTGAGCGCCGGCAGGGTGCTGGTGGGGCGCCATCATTAACAGCCGCGCAGAAGTTCACCCTGCGCATGCGCCGACAAAAGCCGTAAAGGGCAGTTTGCCCCGTGTCTTGTTATCGCGGCGGTTGAGCGCGAGGGTCTGGTCAGGGCAGGCAACGCGCTTGCGGCGATCGGCCCCGGCCAGCGCCGAGAACTCGACTCGTTGCGTGTCGCTGAACTGCCCGGCCGCGGCGGCTTGCGCTCGTCCTGACGTGCAGCGTGGAGCACGGCGGCGGCGGCGGCGGCGGCGGCAGCAGCACGGCGCTGCGGGTAGCGAGGATCCGCGACGGTGCCGTGCGACCAGGCGGCCGCCGTTCCGGCGGGGTCGCGCAAAATTATTGGCCTTCCTTGGCCATCCAAAATTGTTTTACGGTCGAAGTCTTCTACGATTTTGGTCAGCTGCACGATTCCGGAGACGGAAGTGGTGCCGGAACGTTGTTTTCAATGGAGAAGTTTCAGTGCGGTCGTTGGTTCAGCAAAACGTGAAGCCTGTGCAACGACTTGCTTTGGCCCTCTTACGTCTGTGGATTTGCATGATTCCATACAGTGCTTAAAGAGAATAATAGAGTATTAAATAACAAAGGTACAGCTTTGATCCTGTGAGAAGAAAGAAAAGCTGCCTTATTCTTAGTTTGACCCTGATTGCAGCTTATATTGCAGCTTAGTTTCAGGTTATTTACTTTTTATTGTATGCTTACTACGTTGTACCAAAACATTTAGAGGTTTTCCAGCCCAATGTTGTGCTTGTAGTGTGTGGTGTTAGATAGTGAGTTGATTGTGGGAGACAGGATGAGGGCTCTGCTTGATAAGTGATATTGGGTGGCAGGATCACAGATAAAAGCATAGACTTCAGCATAGGAAACTAAAATGTCTTCCAAAGGCATACCATAATGGTTAAAATCGTAAAAAAAACATAACCAGTGTGAAAAATCACAGTTGTATGATTAATAAGGAAAAGACCTAAAGGTCCGGATTGTAAATGCACTGCCAATTTCTAGTATTTCTTTAAGCAGCGTTTAACATTTTTGAAGGTAGTGGCCAAAAAAACCCAAAACTCATTTACAACTCGTGCTTATAAAAAGTAATGTGATTCTTCTGTCCTCCCAGTAGCTGTCCAATCTGTGAATACCGGACTCTGCTTGACCCAAACGCTAGTTTAGTTTGGGGTACATTTGGGACTTCAGCAGCCAATCCCCCCCCACCCGCCGCCTTGCCCCCCGCCCTCCACACTCCATGTAGACGTGAGTCAATTGGAAATGCATGCAGCCTTTGCTGTTCCTGACCTGAAAAACCCCTTAAAGAAAATGTTGCATTAATAAGTTTGTTCAGCACCCCCAAATTGCCGAATTAGGACTCTACTCAGGAGTGTGAGGATCACCCACGTGTAATTAGGGTAGAGATGGGGGGGGGCAGCAGCGGGCGGGAGGGGGTGCGTGGAGACGAGTGCATCGGGTGGCCGTGGACTCAGACATCGTTTGCAATTAAGTTTGCTTGAACGAGACTGGCAGCCGAGGGGCGGGAGGCGTGCGAGGCTCAGGCTGGGTTTGACCCTGTCCAGACAGGCTGTTTGAGATGTGGGTTTACCCTCCGCGCATCACTGTCAGCACTGGTATGCCTTCCGAAGATCCCTTAATAATCTCACTTTGTGGAATTGTGCCTGAGAAGGGGGGGCAAAGCGGTACGGGGAAAGCGAAAACGGAAAGAAATGTATACGACTGCAAGAAATGGAGAGTGAGGAGAGGGAAAGAAATTGCTCGTGCAGGCATCTTGAGCTTGGTTGTCTCGAAAGAGCAGCCTGGGACTGGGCCCTTGACCTCTTAACTCTTGTCAGCGTGGCACAGCTGTTCTTTGGTCAAACACGAGGTTTCGTGACACCTGTAGATAGCGTGTTCTTTTCCGAAGACTGCAGAACAAGCTTGTGTTTTTTTTGCTAGCTACAGTAGATGTTACACGGCGTGTGATGAGATGTGGTGCATCACTGTGGAGTTGCAGATGCAGTCTTCCAGCGGCGGATTACTAATGACGAACTACGGTGGTGGTGGTGGTGATAACCGAGACAGTGATGGGAGCTGTGTAAATGGAGAAAACCTTGGCACAAGCCACTGAAAATCGTGGCTTTAAGCGTAAATGCACCAGTGCTCCTTTCGGCCAGTCGAGGTGATTTGTGCACAACTCATTGGCACCCTATTACATGCAATTGCTGAAGGAAGCTTGCAGCAGCTTGGCGCGAACATTTGTTTTCTTTCTCCCCTTCCTCATTTAAATTCTATTTCATATTCGTGAATATTAAAATAATACGGATAATGCGTTTTTGCAAAATAATGGCCGTTCACAGCAATGCGTGTTTGATGTAAAAAATAATAATGTAAGCACGTTTTGGAAAAAAATTATACATTTGAATTAAAGCACAAAAGGGGGGGCGGCACGAGTGGCCCAGAGGTGCACAGTGCCTTGTCTTGCCGTTCAGGGTCAAGGTTCGGTGGGTTTGAAACCCAATCCTGTGCTGTGGCTGTGCGACGCTGAATATGCCCTCGTTTTGAGGGCGCATTAGGACGATTGCACCGCCTGTGCATGGATTTTAAAAGCCCTTAGAGCTCCTTACACCACAGGCAGCAGCAGCAGCAGCAGCATGATGGCATCATGGCTGAGAATGGTGATTTTGGTCCTTAGCGTGTGTTTGTTAGCTTGTTCCTTAAAATCCAACTTTTTTAGATGCATTCAGTTGCTAAAGATATTAGTCGATCCAGTTATCCTAAATGACGCTGTGGTGCAGTGCATTGCTCGCTCTTTGTTGTGCTTCAAGTGTGCCATTTTGTGCAGTTCGGTTCTTTGTTCTGATGTGCTGTTGATGTGGTGCTGATTGTGCTGTGCATTGTCGTGCTGACTGTGCACTGCATTGTGGTGCTCATTGTGCATTGCATTGTGGTGCTCATTGTGCATTGCATTGTGGTGCTGACTGTGAAGTGCATTGTAGTGTTGATTGTGCAGTGCATTATGATGCTGATTGTGCAGTGCATTGTGATGCTGATTTTGCAGTGCATTGTGATGCTGATTGTGAAATGTATCATTGTGCTTCTCTTACGATGCAGTCAAAAGTCTCAATTTTGTTTTGCTCCAATGATCATTGAGGCAGTGCTGATCTGCTGTTTACATCCCTGAGCCAGTGGTTTAAATTTGTCTTGTTTATCGACAAGACAACCACTGTTGTCTTCCCCGACAAATTTTTACGACAGAGGGATGATACGTCAGAGGGACGAGTCAAGCTCCAACCTGGATTCGAACTCGCAACCTTCCCATTGTGAGCTGCTGTCTCTCTTTACTGACGGAGCCACCTGACAAGATGCAGCGCGTACCGAGGATCTGCGACGTGGTGTAAAGCATTTGCCGAGCGTTTTTTATCGTTGGCGACGAAGCCCTAACGGCACGGTTTTCTGTGCGACGTCATGTGCGAGCAGACGCAGATGCGGAGGATTGCCGCTCGGTGGTGCAGGAGCAAGCCACGGCGCTGGGTCAAGCCATGTTCACCCTCCTGGTGGAGCGCTGCTGTCAGCTGCTGGCCACCTCCCTCAAAGGTAAATGGTGGAGCTCGGAGGTGGTGCAGCTGTGTTGTCCGTCTGCCCTTATGCCAGAGGTCACGAAAGGAGGGCCTTGCTGGAGAAACAATCTAAAATTAAGCTATTTTTTATTTTACCAGGTAAGGCCCACTGAATTAATAGCCCCTTTTCAGAAACGAACTGGCTAAAAACGAAAGCTCAACGAAGTGGCTTATGTGGAAATTTAGAACAGCCAAATACTCTAAATGCATGTTTCTAAATGCGGAGGGAAAAACCGTAGGACCTGGAAAAAAATTCACACAGCCGCGGGGGAGAACATGCAAACTCCAATACAGGCATCAGGGTCGGGATCGAACCCACTACCTCCTGAAAACCAGCCAAGGAAGTTAACATCTCGCCACCGTTGAGTTATCGCTCACAAGATGCATATTTGCATCCCCCTGTGCACAGTCGTCCGCCTTCACAGTGAATCCCGACAGAAACGGTCGACATTGCTTGGGAATACATTCAGTTGTTCCCTTCAGCGACATAAATTTGTTGCTGTTTATACTCAGCCTGGAACTTGCTCCCTGCACCCAAACCCAGTCACTCCCATCATCAGCCACGATCAATCCACTGCTGGATGAAGGCCTTCAGAAGCCACCGCCACCTCTCATGAACCTGCGGTGCAGCAATCCATCCAGCACCTGTACACGAACCGATTTCCACCGCTCCCATCTCCCCTCCTCTCTCTCGGACGCCTTCCATTCCTTGGCTTTCACCCTGTTATTTCTTCTTGACCGTTGGCCATGAAACCCAGTCACTTATTAAGGTAAAAGCACACGGCAAATTGCCACACGCCACCACAACACATTTGGACCCTCTGAAAGAGTATGTTCACATGCAAATCTTGCTCTGATTTCAACGGAATGCGAATAAAAGGCAGCCAATGCAGCGCGTATCTCACCCGCTTCCACAGATGGGAAGGCCACTCTCGCACGTTGTCACGCGAATGCTCGTTTGAAGCGTGATTATAGCAGCCGCAGCTGCACGCGTTGTTCTGTGGCTGCAGTTCGTGCCTCGTGTGAACACACGTCAGTAATTGGGTGCACAATGATGTTGCTTAAGCGTGTCTCTTTCCCGTGTCTCTTTCCCGTGCTTGTTAAAACCAATTTTTTTTTTAAAGAATGCAAATTCATTTTGCTGAATATTGTGAGAATATGTTGCGGTCAAAAAAACAACTCCTGTTAATATTTAACTGAAGGATGTTATTTATATTTTCGGTGACAAATTGGCCAAATTAAAAAATATATACTTTATCAGCCGCGAGTCATATTATTCAGCTCGAGTACTAACGAAGAGCAAATAGCCCTCGCTTGAGCACAGCAGTTTGCCTCTCCAAGTAGGAGCTGTTTTGAAATTGAGATTTTAACGATTGCAAGCCTAAAAGTCGTCAAATATGGTGTACACTGCCGTAGCTATGGCGATCGCTCCCAGTAGTTACATTGTGTGCAGCAGTTTAGACGTGTTCTCCTGTAATGTCAAGGGGGATGTTTTCTTTGTTGAGGCTTATCTGCCGAAATACAGCAAAGTCCGTTTGGCAAATGCACAGTGCCGCGTATGCCATGAAATTTTCTCTTGGCAGTCCCATGTGGAAACTCACGAGCTTTACTTCACCCCCACAATTAAGCGGCATTTTTGTGCTGCATGTTGATGGTGAGGAGTTCAGCAATTTATCTTTCTTGATTTTTATCTTGCATTTATCAGAATGTTCCGGTGACGCCGCCTCAAGGTGTTTAATTGAATGGGTGTGTGACATTTCAGTTCCAGATCGGAGTGTGTATGTTTTAGAGAAATCTTATTTTCGATATCTAAATGCTGGGTATGTGTCCTTGGCTCTTTCATGAGCCAATGGGATAAGTGAAGAATCTGCTTGATTTGGCTGCCAATGTATTCGTGCTTGGGATTGGGAATTCACCGCTTTCCGATGTCCGAGTGCCCGGTACAAGTCCTTGGCTGCGCGCTCGTCCCCTGGGAGGCTTTGAGTTTCCATCCCAGTTGCCAAGCCTCTGGGCCAGGGCTCGCTCTCAGGATGGGCCTCCAGGCCCCCCTTTCACAGGGGCTGAGTCATCGTGTGCGTGCGTGCCTTATTGCTCAGGGATTTACTGCATGCAGATGGCTGTGCCACGTGGGCTCTGGGTTTGTGACCCGAGATTCAAAAGGTCACGGCCGCCGTGGTCAGAAATGTTCCCGGTGGTACGCGCTTGGCACTGGGCGTTCTCGTCTCCGGCGCTCGAAGCGGAGGCTATGGGCGCCTCGTATCATCATTTTCTAGAGCCCCGCTGCACAGTGGGAGGAAAATGAGCAGCACGCGCACAGCGGGGTAGCATGTTTATCTGCAGCGGTGCGGTGAAGCTCTTGGAACGCAATGGGTAAGCACAGTGACCTGCAGCGAATCCATCTATATGGGATGTTGGCTGGTTTTGATACCATGTGGGCAGCCCAGCCTCTCAGTGGAAATCAGGGCAAAAAAAAAACACCCTCGCTCCAACAGCACGTTTACACACTTGAGCTGTCTGCTGTTTGTCACACCGCGCAGCTGCATCAGTGTAACTTCCAAACTTCTGTCACCTCACTCCCCCCCCCCCCCCCCCCCCCCCCCCCCCCGTGAAGATCCCGAGAGACCCGCTGAGTCGTCAATTCTGTCAAAGAGGGCCCTCGTACTCGGCTGGGTCACGACTCGCCACGCCGTATTGTGTGGGGGACGCTTGGCGATTGGTGTTGGGAATGCACCACAGGCCATGTATAAATGCCATGGGGGCATGTAGGCGTTTTGAGAGGTAAAGCGTCGTATTACCTTTTCCAGTTGCTTATAATTTTCGGAAAACAATCCAACAAAGAAGTAATTTATTTGTTGTATATAAACCTGGCTGTGTGTATGCAGCCTCTCTCAAAAGGCATTAGTGCTATGCGTGTGCACGACAGTTTTTTTTTAATCAGCACCATATATGTACTACGGATTCAGAGCATTCAGGTATAAAAATCATGATAATGACAGGTCGTTATAGAAAGACCGTGAGTTTGTAAGTTTAAACCTAATGGCTTACTGAGCGAATACTCCTACTTCCTTGCTTCTTGAATGCAAATGAATGAGAAGGTAAATCAGAGAAAAAAGAATGATCATTTCCTGCTTTCCAATGAGGCTGGAAAGGTATTAATTATCTTTTAGAGCGGAATTTCCTGTGTTTTGTTATTTTTCCCCAACAGAAGCACTTGATGTAATCTTGACTACCGATGTCATAATTGATGGCATCATCGTGGCATTGTGCTGCGATGCCTGTACGGTGTCAAGAAAATGGCAGTGTACAGCATTGGATTCAATAATCTACGTGTGCGGAGCTTTGAGTGTTACCCCCCTCAAATGCGTGTGTTTTCCCTGGGTTCTCTATCTCGGTGCTGAATAAGAGTAACATTTTTAGCTGAAAAAGAGTTTTAATAATAATGATGCAATTTATAACGCGCGCAAATTTGCGGCCGTTACGTCCGCAACTCGGAGGCGCGGAACCAAGCTCAGAGTCGCTCAAAAGCACGTGGTTATAGAGGTGCGTTTTTAAGTGTCTCTGGAAGGAGGCGATTGAGGTGATGCTGCGAATGTGCAGAAGGATAGCGTTCCAGACTGTTGGGGCTGCCACAGAGAAGCGGCGCATAGACACGATGACCATCCTGGATCTTGGTATCAAGAGGAGGTCGTGAGTCACGCTGCGCAGGCATCTGCCGTGTGCTGAGCTGCAAGTTGTCAATAATGAAGAAAGGTACGGCGGGCAGGCAGATGTGTGACATCATTGAGGAAATTGGAGGGAAATAGAAGGGCATTATTGTGATAAGCAAGCAACAATATTTTTTAACCAGGTGAGGGCCCATCGTGCTAAATCAGAGTTACGAAAGCAAAAACGGCCGTACAAGATAGCACAGTATAAATCGCTTGAAATAAAATATGAGAGGAGTGTTATACAGAGATGATAAAATTCCAAACAATAATCTTATGAACCCGAGGCTGATCTGCGTATTATATTGATGTCTGTAAAAAGAATGAGCTTTAGGTGGAAGAAGCTATCGTCAGCCTATGTATCGATTAAGATAAAGTAGAGATGGTGATGCTGAAGACTTTTCATCTTTGCGTGAAATTTGATCCAGGTTATTGGTGAATAGTGTCAGCATATTTAGCCATTCTTAGAAGGTGGACTTTTTCCAAAACTCGGTGGCCCAGGAGAGGTACTCTAAATATGTGTTTAAAGATGGACAGGACATATTAAACGGTTACCAACATTCAAAACTAGACTGTGTAAATTACATTAAAACAGAAAATAAGTCCAAGCTCGTTCCACCAGCTCCTGAATCGTGATGTGGGTGGAATCCATAGTCTTAAAATCACTCCATCTCTAACCATGCCAAGTCTAGGTTTCTAATACAGCACAGGTTCACTGTCAAGACATGTGCCCTCTGCTCGCATGCACACGTACTTGCTCATACACAAAGATAAAAAAAAATCCCCTGTAAAGCCTTAACATACTTTTCGGACAAGTGCTGTGAGCGAGCACCTATGAAGGCCGGCACAGCACACGAGGGGGTAGGTGGCCAACACGACGCCCGACCGCCTTTGGAGACCCAGTGGCGATGTTTACACACCACCGCAAATACTCATTTCATGCCGAGTCGTGTTCAGGAAGGCCCGAGTAGTGCAGCGAGCTCACCGCTGTTCTATGACACAAACACAGACAACATGCGAGCACTCAAGACACATGAGTAAACACATGTACGCACGTGAACACATGAGAACACATCTGCATGCACACGCCGGCGCGTACTCTTGTGCCGACGTGGTTGCGCGCGCATGCACGCACACACGCACGCGTTTTTCTCGCCCTCCTGGAATAATGGGATATATGAGAACAATCTGCTCATGGCGCCGGTGCATCTTTAATGTGAGGAGGCAGGGGTTGAACAGCGTACACAAACATCCTATCGTTTTACCAATCGGT